TTCAAAATGAATGGACACAAATGAAAACGGTGCTTTACAAGCAAAGCCGTTGACAGTTGGGATTTCATAACGAAATGCGAGGAACATGCTGTAAAACTAGACAAAGAAGCAGCGGTCATACCCGTGAACTGGTGTAATCTTATAAATACATCATTGAAATTTAGGTCAATAGGGAAGTAATAGGTTTTTTTTGCTCGCGCTCCCCCTCCCATCCGTCTTGAATGGAGAATGATGCTCTAATGGATTCCATTTTCGGTTCCCAGCCTGCGCTCACAGCCCTCTGAATATGAGCATTAAATGCGATAAAAATCCCTAAACACAAAACCAGCGACATCCACATGCCAATAAACACATAACATGTGCTATTACTACGCGTACCAGGGGTTTCGCAACTGTTCCGAGCGTTTTCTTGGCAGATATCGTGATTGTAGGTGGGGAATGTGACAGCTGGAAATGCAACTGGAATGACATTGCGCTTACCGAATAATGTCCAGAGGAACAACGCTCTTCTCGCTTCCCCCTCCCCGAATTATTGCCGACAATTCAAAGCGTGCGACACACGGAAATCATTCCCAACGACTGGCATTGAAAGCAGAAGAGATGCTGGTGTGTCGAGGAAAGGACAGCACACGCTAGGTATCCAAGGAAACCCGTGAGGATAGAAGAAGACCGGAAAACTGCGGTGGGTAGTAGCCACGAACACAGCAGCAGCAGCAGCTCCTGCTTTCTCCCTCTCTCTCCTCCTCTTCCCTGCTGGACCATCCCCATCCGAGCATCTTGCTGCAGTGATGACGACGCGTCCCACAGCGACATCTCGCGGTCACGTGTGGAATTGCACCTTCCATTGGAACGCCAGGGTGTCAGACTTTGGACTATCGACGTAATTGTTGGTCCACACATTGCAGTTTAACTTTCCTTTGCGCGGTTTTAGGAAGATCCGAACTCCTACTTCTGAAGTAATAATTATGGGCATGCCACGTTCAAGAGCTTTGTGGTCAAAGAGAATAGCTAGCCAAAATTACATTTTTATATACACATAAATGTATATGATCAAAACTGCAACAGTGCCATTTTGAATGAAATATAGTTAATCGATTTTTGGTGGGGTTAGGCAAGTTGGCAATCCATATTGTATGGTAATTCAACATGTGAAGGCAGCAATACTTTTGCCAAGAACTGACACTTAGGTCTTTTTGCTAACTGTACACATTGCACACACATGAAAGTCATTCTTGAGACGTGGGACAAAACAGGTCCAGCAAGGGTAATTTTGTGAAAGAAATGCCAAATTTGTCAACACCATCAGATGTCACCACCATAAGAAAAACTATCGCCTTACTTTAGCCCGATTCACAACGGTTAGCTTATACTAATGTTTTCTAATTTGAGTGGTAGGGGTAGGTTTCCGCGGAAAATTCGAGCATGGCACTGCGTTATTACGTCACATCTGTAAACATAAAGAAGTTGTCCCGGCTACTAGGCTATCGCATGTGAGGATCCTCCAGGTGACGGTTGGTTTATAGCCTTTTCTCACAGCAGCCAGAATAATTAAATGTATCATTTTGATGGCGGATTGTAATCCATAAAGGATTATGTGTTTATGAAACACATGTGAATGAAATAACATTTTATTCCAGTTATAAATGTGCTTCTGATTACAGATAGCCTGGGATTACAAAGATTTCTATTTTAAAGAAAACCAGTTCGAAGGGAGCATAATTTGCTTTTTGGGTTCAAGGAATCCTTTAAGATATGTTAGACTCTGCTGTTAAGCCTCATAGAACAGTCACCAAATTTTAGCCACGCCTCTTCTTTCAACAACCCATTGCTTTGTCATATCCATGGTGACTATGCAATTATATACCCATAGATATGTATAGGTATCTATAATGTTACCTGTCATCTATGACCTGTCAAGCCGAAAAGCAACAAAAAATTTGGCATCTGTTATCAACTACGTCGAAGTTCTCAGCCCCCTCTGTCAATTACAAGCTTCAAAGACATTGACTCTGCTCTTACTTTTTTTTTATTGGTTAGGTCGCTTTTTGGTCTCCATATTTCTTTTAGGACGCTTGGCTCTGTAGGCCGCAAAACAGAAATCAGGTGAAATCACAAACAATCTCACCCTCCAAATTAATGAAAAGCAAACATGCTGAACAGTGTTGCCAACTGCTTTCAATTGAAAGTAGCTAAAACTGGTAGCTAAATGTCACTAGATGACATCACAATGGCAAATTCACTGATCTATATAAAGATGAACGTAGATCAGTGGGCAAGATGAGAACTTAGATAAGGTTTGTCCAAGAAGTTGCTATATTTGTCCCTAAACTTTTGAAAAAAGTCTCAAAAGGGGCGGGGAAGTCGCTAAAACTAGCTACAAAGTAGCTAAATTGGCAACACTGATGCTGAAGCGCTCAGCTTCCGGCTTCCCATATATGGACTGGCCGCTGTGAACATGCATAATGACTGACAGGCAGAATACGCCTCAAAAGTCGTCTGATTGGCTAAACAGAGAATCTCACCACAGACCACGGCCTCTTCTTATGTTACTGTTTCCAGGCTGTTACAGCAATATCTCAAGACAGTTATTTCAGTGGTAAGCTGTACTTCAGGGAGCACTAACATTTTCTGCATACCATTTAAAAAATCTCTACAGCAGTAGCATATTGCAGCAATGAGGTGTCTTTTCGTTGACCACTAGGGCGTAAACAAAAACCCTATCAGCTGTGGTTACTGGTTTTGCAGTTTATGGGGGGTGCTGATCGGTCCCACATTATGTTTTTATGGTATTACAGTATATAATTAGTCATAGTTTACAGGAAGTGGCTTTTGGGTTCGCCAATTGTTCAACCTCAACAACAGTGCAGGGATGTAATTTTAGTCGCCAACCAACTATGGGTGTCAGGACAATGTTTGTCATTTATTTTTTTTTCAAAAAGTAGGGCTTACTAAATAGCAGACGAAAAGAACTTTGTGTTTACGTCAGAATCAATCATATCCAGTAGGAAAGAATGTATTTCCATTCACCATAAAAGGAACAACATAAAAGAAAAAGGAAGTAGTTAATGTCCTAATAGAAGTCAGGTTACTGTTGAAATGAAGCAGTTCTGAAAAGTAGTTATTTCTCAAGTAAAAGCCGATTGAGGATGTCATTAGTTAGAACACTCATGCAAGTGTTTCGATGCCTCCATACATACTAGAGGGTGCTAAAATACAAAAAGGAATTCTTCCTTTGCAGAAATGAGTATGAACATCACAGTTATCGAACCCTATCCACTATTTTAATTGCTTTAAATTATTTCATAGTGTTATTTGATTATTTAAAATGACTGTCTTTGTGTCACACCATAAAGTTCAATTCAATTCAATTCAATTCAGGTTTATTTGTATAGTGCTTTTCACGATACAAATCGTTGCAAAGCAACTTTATAGCAAATTAAGTTTCTACAATATTTAGTGGTAGCTTATCAGTGGTGACTGTCAGTTAATGTACATATGGCAGAAATATACGGAAAAATCAATTAAAGACGTAATAAATTAAAGACGTAACAAAAAAACTATTAACAGCAATTATTATATGATGCTGTTTTTGTAACATGGGAAATATGATTTTCAGAAGACAAGTTGCTATCTAATATAACACCCAGATTTTTGACTGTAGAGGAAGTAACAGTACATCCGTCTAGTGCAAATTGTAATCCAAGAGATTCGGTGTACTGTCTTTTTGTCCAATAAGTAATATCTCTGTCTTATTCGAATTTAATAGGAGAAAATTATTGGTCATCAACTCTTTTATATTTTTAACACACTCGATCTATGAGTATGTGATGATCTATAGTGTCGAACGCAGCACTAAGGTCAAGTAAAACTAGCAATGAGATGCAGCCTTGGTCTGATGCAAGAAGCAAGTCATTTGTAATTTAAACAAGTGCAGTTTCTGTGCTATGGTGGGGCCTGAAACCTGACTGAAATTCTTCATAGAGATAATTTTTTTGCAGGAAGGAGTACAATTGAGCAGACACAACTGTTTCTAAAATTTAAGACATAAAAGGAAGATTTGAAATGGGTCTGTAATTTGCCAGTTCACTAGGATCTAGTTGTGGTTTCTTAATAAGAGGCTTAATAACCGCCAGTTTGAATGGTTTTGGGACGTGACCTAAAGACAACAACGAGTTAATAATATTGAGAAGCGGTTCTTCTGCTACAGGTAACAACTCTTTTAGTAATTTAGTGGGTACAGGATCTAACAGGCATGTTGTTGGTTTAGATGCAGTGATAAGTTTATTTAGCTCTTCCTGTCCTGTAGTTGTAAAGCACTGCAGTTTATCTTTTGGTGCGATGAATGAAGCTGAAGTATTATACGCTGTAAAATCTACATTTGTTTTTGTATTTCTGATGTTATCTATTTTATGAGTGAAGAAATTCCTAAAGTCATTACTATTAAACTGTGAGGGAATATTTAGATCGGGTGGCGTCAGGTTATTTGTTAATCTAGCCACTGTGCTAAATAAAAACCTTGGATTGTTTTGGTTATTATCTATGAGTTTATGGATATGCTCTGGTCTTCCCTAAGCAGTGATGGGTCTGATTCTATGATTAGCACTATTCTATAGCACTACTGATGTACCGTTATGAGGAACTCACACCCACACCTTATCACTCCATTTAATTGACCAATGTATCTGGTGGTTTGACAATTTTATTCCAGATAAAAAAAATAAAATAAAAAAGTTGCTCTTAAGTACAAAATAGATGTCATATTAGAAATAAGCATACATGTATTTTGAAATTATGTTTTTCGCAACATATATATATATTTTTAAATATACTATCTGCACACTATTTTTATGCCTTTAAACTTAAAAATAAATCTGGAAAAGTTTTCTCTGAACACCTAAAAAGTAAGAAAACAAAAAAAAAAAACATATATAATGTAAATAAATCCAAATACAGTAAATTATTGAATGCAAATTTCATTATAGATCAATAAAACACTGGGTTATTTCCAAACATTCTGTCATGCTGAACAATTGTTTTAAGCTTATAAGGCATCAAAAACAAAGATAAGAAAATGTAAAACAATTCCCTATATCAATAACAATATACAACATAGTTTCTATAAACAGTAAAACCATCCCCTTGAATTTATAAGTTTGCATACATCTCTACCAGCAAAAGCAATCATATCAATGCAGCTGAAAGCAGTGACAGCAAGTAATACTTCATTTATATGATTAATTTCTTCAGACTTGCCATATTCCCTCACATAGTAAACTCTGAATCCTTGATAGGGCACAAAACAAAAAAACATGACCAACAGGAAAACAACATTCTTCAGTTGTGCCCAGAACTCTTGACGTTGACATGTGGCCTTTCCAAATGTCTTACTCACGTTGAGCAGAAAATAAACTTGGAAAAATGCCAGCACACTCCAAACCAGTATTACTAGTATACAAATTACATAGTTTAATGTCTTCACAGTAGGCTGCATGAGAGCCTGACCAAAATGAAAGCAATGAGTTGAATCGTTCTGTGTCATTCCATATTTAGCAATAGTTGCTGGGAACATAGAGCCGAATATGACCAACCAGACGGTTGCACTTGCAATCGTGGCGTGAAGGATGCGATGAAACTCTAGCTTGTGCTGCTGATCAGAGTGCTCCACATAGCGCACAATTAGAAGGAAGACATAGAAGATGAATGCAAGATACATGTGGGCATGGATCATAAGACTGACAATTTTGCAGAAATGTATGCCCAGAATCCAGTCTTCATCAGAAGCATAATAGTAAATTCGAAAGGGCACCGTGAAAAGGAAAAAGGAGTGCACTGCTATCAGGTTGATCACAGACACTTTGGTGAAAGAGAGACATCTTTGAGATTGTAGCATACAGGACATTAGTACAACATTCAGAGTCCCAGCGAGAAAGATGAATATATATAAAACCAGAAGAGCAATTCTAAAGTCCTCCGGCAGGCCAGTTTGGTTTGTGGTGTTGTTTATGATCATGCCTGATACTGTAATTTGGAGAAAGACATTTTTGTTTTTACTTGCTCTCAAAAATGAATATATACAGTATATATATATAGAGAGAGAGAGAGAGAGAGAGAGAGAGAGAGAGTCTAAGAAATTACTTTTAGATTTAAGACGAAATATAATAGAAAATATGAAACATAAACTCACATTTTCCCAAAACTCTTTTCCTGGTAAAATGTTTTGGCCCTGAAAAATGCAAGACAGATTAATCACATTTCTTCTTTTGAATTTTTATCTTTTTTTTCTCCTAACATCTTGAAGTACAGCAAGTAATTAAGTAAATAAATAAAAACGTTTTAAAATGTAAGTTCGTAAAAATGAAACATTTTAGTCAACTTGAAATGTGAAGTTGTACTAAGTGGCAACTTGGATATCTGAATGTAAATGTAATGCAAATGTAATGTCAATTTTAAGGCAGCACAGCAACAACAACAGTAATGGCCCGGTCATGTCAAAGTAAAAAATTATTTGAAGATCTTCTAGGGTGTTTTAAATGTGCTGAACCTAATGGTTCTTTCATATGATGTAATATTAGCAGAAGCAGAAGTTTCAAAACACTTCCCTTGTAATGCTTCTAAACAAAATCCAAAATCTATGTAACTGACTATTTTAGTCAAGGCAATCCGTATTTGTAAAGTATGTAAAGTTACATAACATGATAACATTAGATTTATTCTGCAAAATAATACTAAATAAACAACTATTTTAAACTATTTTCTACTCAGTTTCTACAGTGTTTGGCATAAGAACTTACCCGTAGTATCAATCATATAGTGAATGTCAATATTCCTTCAGCAACAGCATGCAGACAGTTTGATGTATTGGAGACAGTTCATCCATTAACTGTAGGTGCCAAGAGAGTTGAAGATGAATGTGATGTCAGTGTGTCAATCTTCTGTCAATGTCAAACGGACAGCCTCCAGAGCCTTCAGGAAACACCTCTCGACTGTTATTTGGCGCAGTAGAGATTAAAGATTTAAAAATCTCACGCACAAGGAAGTTAGCATTGCAATGTTTTCTTTCTCAATCTGGCCTTCCTGGTCTCTTTCTCTCACTATTCTTCTATTACATAATCTTCTGTGTTTTTAATAGTCTTATTCTTGTCTTTTGCTAGCTAAGATGATCTTGAAAGGTCACATATTCTTATAAGACTGCTATTTTGACAATATCCTAGTAAAACCAGGCATAATAATAATATGCCCAAATGGCAGTACACTCCAATGAACGTTTTGCATGATCTAATGCAGTGTATGGGCTATTAAATAAAATATTAAAATTTTCAAGGAAACAAATCACTTTATTGTACTGTTAAAAAAAGGTAAGAGGAAATAACCTATTTTTCTGGGTCAGGCTTTTTACAGTTTGAAACAACAATTGGAAAATCCCACCATAAACTCATATACATCCATCTCTCTCAAGTTAGCAATCCTGAAAACACCAAAAAGCAAACAAAAATATGTTGACTTTTTTTTAAATAATTGGTAGAATTTAGGGTTGCTATTGAAATTGCATATTACAAACAAACTGATAATGTACCTTTTTTCAAAATGAGGTGGGGTGTGAGAGATGCTTCGGTGACACTGAGCGAGTTTGGAATTATGTTTTTTTAATTGGTAAAATTGTTTTGTGTGTTGTCTGTAATGTTTTGAAAAATTGTGTAAATTAAAAGGGTTTTAAAAGTTGTCTCTCTCTCTCTCTCTCTCTCTATCTCTCTAACTCTAGTTTTACAATTCATGTAGTCACCTTTATATTTCATTTTCTTTTAGAAGAGCAAATCTCATATTTCATATTTTCATTTACATCTAAAATAATTTTTTGTGTGCTCCATAGTACTGATCATTTACACACACTTATTTTAAAGGTGCCATAGAATAGAAAACCGTATTTACCTTGGCATAGTTGAATAATGAGAGTTCTGTACATGGAAATGATATACCGTGAGCCTCAAACACCATTATTTCCTCCTCCTAATGTAATTCTCGTGCGTGTAAAAGACCACTTAAAAAGAGGCAAATCCCAACCAACATTTGCATAGGCCAGCCGGTGTTTCGGTTTCAGTGGGCGGAGCCAACATGAATATTCATGAGTTTCCAGGACATGCGCGTGGAACCAAGTGGGACTGAGAATTTCAGTTCATGCTCCTTGTATCTCAGCAGGTTTAATGGAAAAATAAAAAAAAAAGGTAAATATATTTACAGCGTTGCACAAACCTATGCCTAAACTAAATTTGTTCATCATTTTGTAACAGTTTACAATGTTTTTATTAGTTTGCACGTTTTGTGCAAATGATTGCAGACATTCATCACACTTAAGCTAGTTGTAACTTACTTTGATTTCAGTTCGTTGTGCTGTAGCTTGCAATGCTTTAAACTGTGTCTGTTGTTAGTTGTTATCATTTGAGTACAACAGCTGAAATAAACTTGCATTTGTGGATCGTTTTTCATGTATCCTGGTGTGATTGTTCTTAAACTGTTAGGCTTAGATTCCTATTCATTTTGTAAATATAGCCTAAGACCACACACACAAGCATGGAAGTGTTCCTTTAATAAGTAAACTTTTGGTTTAAACAAAATTGTATGGACAAAAGTTTAAAAAGTAGCCTACATTTGGTACACTGTAAATGAGAAAACAAATACTTCACTGCATTTTATGGAAAGGAATAAGAAACTAATTTAATGTTAAAAAATGATTTTATTAACAAATGTTCATAAGTGTGCTTGTGCTTGTTTTGATATGATATATACAGTACTGTTCTAAGTATTTGTATTAGTAAGGTTCTTTGTTCATGTTCACCAACTGCATCAGATTAAAAATATTAAAAAACATTAACATTGTGAAATAATTTTACAATTTAAAATAAAGTTTTTTCTCCTGTGATGCATTTTCAGCATAATTACTCCAGTCTTCAGTGTCACATGATTCTTCAGAAATCATTCTAATATGCTGATTTGCTGC